GGGGGGGGGAAAGGTGATCCATTCTTGACAAGAATAATATCTACAGAGAGTGAAGGCAGCAGTTTCTCCAGAGTGAAGTTCACCAATTCAGAGCCAGAGGAAAAACTAGGAATAGAGCAAAGCCATTGGACAGAAAAAGAATGCGGGACTTTTCTGTGGCTGACTGGCCAAAGGAAACCTACTAAGTCTGGATTCATGGCAACATAAGACACTGACATCCCATTAACAACAGGGTACTTGTGCATGTAACTCTCTGTACACTGCTCAAAAATTCATTTTGCAGAATTTTTAACTTTCTCAACTTTCATACACACACCTTCACATTAGTAGCATTCATATCCATTTAAATGCTACAGCCAAGAAACACTGTGCACATTCACCAGCTCTGCTTTTCTGTAAAAGAGGCTGAGAAATTGGCATCCAGTCCAAAAGGACCATATCACAAAATATTTACAGAGGGATTGAAAGGCCATGCACCAAAATGCCAAAAACCCAATAAAGCCAAACCTGTTAGAGAATGTGGTTTTGCACATTGCAATAAGACAAAAATAAACAAATGCGCATAAACTAACTCTCATTTGTTTTAAAATTTGGGCCTTATTTGACCTATTATATATATATATTCATATAAAATATTGTTAAATATATTAGAATAATTCTGCATTAAAACTTTTAAAATAGAGTGAAAAGTAATGCTGATGCTAATACCTCGAGGGTTAGGCATTTTGGCCATTACAGTCCTGATAGTTTTCCTTTAATTCAATAAGAAATAAGCAATCTTCTAAGCTATGAAGACCCCAGTGAAAAAGTCAGTTTTATATGACAAAAGAGAAGATTGAAAAAAATCATGGGTTGTTAAATAAACTTTATGATTTGCCAAAGTGGGACTATTTTAAGAAGAATACTTAATTCCCACATTTGCTCACTACAGTTTACACTCACTTTGCAGCCAAAGAAAAGAGAAGCAAGGCTAAAGCACAGAACTAAAATCACTTCTAAATGTTTTGTATCATATATGTTAAAATCAAAACAAACTCCAACAGGATATTAAGCTGCACACTTATTATTGGAAACCTGACCTGATTTGGGAAACAGTTCTTTAAGCACGCCAATAAAGATACTCAAGGCACTATACTCACCAGTATGAATCTTCTCATGTCTCTGTAGCAGGTACTTCTGTATGAAACGCATGTCGCATTGACTGCACTGAAATGGTTTTTCACCTTGAACAATATAATTCCACATCCATAAGTTAATAACTACAAACTGTTGTTTCTGATGATTACTTTGAGGAATAAAATAGTTGTCTATAAGAAACCAGCATCTGAGCGAATTCCAAAATAGTCTAATACCAAAAAATTTATCCCTACTAACTATATGGACTTCAAAATTCTCCCCATGAGTCACATTAACAAAAACATGGAGGAGTTGAAGCTGACATGGCTGTAATTTCCTCAAGAACAAAATCAATCATGATGCTGGCATAAGTCTGCATTTTGGGTTCCGGCAAGCTATTATAATGGTAAGTACCTTTTTCATTTCTCCGAACCAGAGATACCTCATCAGGCAGATAAGCATCTAGAGCACATTTTACAAAGGGGTCAATTTTGGCACTTAGGCTACAAGTCAACCCATTACTTTCTGATAAAGAAAGAAAAGAAACCTTGTAAACAGTTATATCCTCAGTTTAATGAACATATGTTGATATTTTTTCTGGTATTCTTTTGACACTTTGGTGCATGGAATCACTAAGCTTAGATGCCAAGTAACCTACACTCTTAGAACTGAAATTCGCATAGAGCTGAAAACATTTTTACTGTGAGTAAACAGATCTTTATATAGTAGAAAAGACAAGTGAAGTTAAGCAGTACCTGTATGAATGAAGACATGTCTCTGTAAATGGTAGTTGGTTCTAAAGGCAGCATTGCAATGCTCACAAACATGAGATTTGGGGGTTTTCAGACCAAGTGATCCATCCTCATTTATTGTAAGGATCTATTTTAAAAAAAAGTAAAATTTGTTCTCACACTACCCACTAAAGATGTTTTATTAACTACAAAACAAAACATAAAATAAATTTGTAATGCAGAAAATTCAAATATTTCAGGTAAAAATAGTGCTAACGTCTATAAATCTACACCGACAGGATTTTGGTTTTACATTTGCAACAACCGCCTGTTCCAAACTTGTGTATCATCAGTTGTCAAGAGATATTTCCACCTGCTGGAGACAAAAGCAATTGATGGAAAACCAGCTTACAGCTTTCCTATTCAGAGTGGAGTCACTTTAAATGTCAGTGTTTACTTTCTCCATCTGTTGGGAAGGAGGTAAAGTAACCAAATCATCTTTGGCACAGCACCATGGATGATCATATTTTAAAGGATAAGTGGAATGCTGTATGATCTTTGTGGAAATAAAGCAAGAATGTATGATTGTCAAGATGTATAAAAGCTTATCCCTGAGTAATCACATAACCTGTCTGCTACTGCACATCACAGCTAAAAATAAGACTGGACTAATAAAACTGTACCCCTGTCCAGTTACATATAAAATGTCAGTACAGAAGTATTAAAGTAACTCTTTAATTGTTTAGTTATTTTCCATTCTATTCCCTTAGCCTTGCTTTCTAATTCTTTGATATAATGTCATGGTACAGTACTTAGCAGGCTTTTATATCACTTTTGTATGCTAACTGGCCACAAGACAACCTCTCCCAATATTCTGTAACGTGGATATGATAAAAAAACAAAACAAAAACAAAAAAACCCCACCTTGGACCACTCCTAACTCGTTCATCTTACAGAGCCCTTCCTCACTTAGTGTATCCCTTGAGAAGATCTCCCTGCCAAATTCAGCTTTCTACTTTCAATAATTTTGATGACCATAGTAGATTTTTTTTTAAAGTTGCAAGAATTTTTTAAAAACTAGGAAAAGTTCATTTCCACACCCCATTTGATACAGCTCAGTACAATTTTGCTCAAACTTGCCCCAAAATAACACCACTGGAAAGAGACCAGCAGGAAAATGGCAGCCCAACAAATGAAATTTTCAGAAAGTTTTAGGTGACCGAAAACAGTGTTATAATAATGTGTTATAACGGAATAATCTCAAATAAATAGTGATTAGCTCTCTAACTATAAAAACCGAGGAGGAAAGCATGCTGTCACTCTAAATAGCCAGCATATTTTAACAGAGCAAGCAAAAAAGAGCCATTCTATTGCTCTGCGATCATTGATAAACTCAGTATTAACTGTTATTATAGGACCTACTTTGAAAAATGTTCCAATTTTACCTGCTCGTTCTGCTACAGCAGACTTCACAGACAGTTTAAGCTCTGATCTGGCACACACACTTGAAACCAATGGGATTACTCACATGTTTATCTATAAGCACATTCATATGTTTGCAGGGGCCTTACAGACCTGTGAAGTCCAATGCTTATAAAATTATGTTCTGTAACAATATGCTACTACTTAAACTGACACTGTCAGATATAAAAGTATATTTTATAAAACAATTAAATTTTATCACATGTATTATGTATATTATTGACATTTTAAAATAACTGCTGAAAACAGAAAAAATATTTCATATTCCTCCATTTTTCCTCTAAATTCTGGAATCTTTTTAATTAACTGCATTGTAGCTCCTCTTAAATGAAGAAAATCAGTTTTGCCAATGCGGTTTCACCAAAATGTAGTCCAAAAAATAATGGGGGTAAAAATGAATAAAAACTGTAGATTTTTCAAGTAGACAATTAATAAAAGGAAAATAGTACTGAAAATATTTCAATGTATTAAGTGACCTCCCCACTTAAAACTCAGCTGTTGGAATGACAGCAAATCAAGACCAATATGCTGGGATTATGCCATGCCAATCCTTCTGCTCTTCCTGCCCTTCCTATTCTTACGAGCCAATAAAAGATTGATACAAAACCTGCTCAAGGATTTTCCTCAACGTTTTTCAATCCCTCTTCATCTCAAAAGAATGGGACAGGCAGACAGGGAGATAGAGGAAGGAAGCATACATGAATGCCCGTGAAGTCTTCTATAAGAGGGACACCCACCTCTCCCATCAAACAATACTCCCACAGATGTGGTCTCTGAGGAGAAAGGGTGAGGCATTCAAGCTGGATGCCCTTCATTATAAAAGAGAGAGGTGTGCTGCCATCAGGGACCCAAAAGCCTGGAACTTGCTCCCAAACTCTGTCTTAAAGATTTATAATCTGTCAGCCCTTCAGGCATGCCACAAACGCCATCTATCTAAGAAGATTTGTGGGGAAGGTTATGGGATAGGTAACCCTGGGAAAAATGAAAAGGCTTGTTTTGTTTCAGGAGGGGTTTTTTTGCGTCCCGGGGGGGGGGGGGAGGTAGAGAGGGCAGAGGAGATTTGCTGCTTTAATTTATTTGCTGGCTGGGCTGTTTCCTGAATACACTTATTTTTATGCTATTGTGTGGTCCTCTTTATGGGACTGTGATTTTACTTAATTGCTACAGCACCTGAGTGCTTTATTTTAATTGTTGCATAAATCCAAATAAAATAAATAATTAGCTTGGGTTTTAGTAGAAGGGGGCAAAACATTGCTGCAGCCCCCATTTGGATAGCTGATCCTGTTTTTGTCTTAACAAAAATGTGCCCCTTTGATATAGGGAAATCTAAGCTCTCAGACTGTCACAGGGCAATACCGTCCTTCAGGACCCCCTTGTGGCACTGCAGGCACTCCCTGCCTCAGTTTCTCCTCCCCAGGAGTTTCTGTATCTCCTGAGGTTCATGTGGCTCAGCCCTCTGGCTGGATCACTCTAAATTCAATCTCTCTTGAGGTAACCAGTCCAAACAAAAGTCCCAAAATTAATGAATGGTACTCCCTGTTCACAGTCCCTGATGGGTTACCTTTCTAGCCTCTCTCTCTCTCCCTCCTTACGCAGGAGTCCCCAGTTTTCCTCCTTGGAGCTAAGCTATAAGTTAGACAACTGTCGGACCCTAGTCAGATTCTCCCTCAGCTGGCCCCTTTCCCCCCTAATTAGTCCCCATGCTGAGAAGTCTCAGCAGACCAGCCTTCTCTTGCTGATGTCCGCCCAGCTATGAGGGAGGAGAGAGCATTTATGCTGGTCTGCATCTCCCAGCTCATCCCCAATTGGATGGATGGTAGGAGAGCCTGGCCCCACCCTCTCTCCAAGACTCCCCGCCCTTAAAGACACAGTGATGGAATTTCCTTGCAAGCACTACTTACTCCTGGAACCACTTCCTCTCTATCAATATCTTTTAGGACAGTCCTTATATTCTATATATAGGACCATTCAAAATCTTAAAAGGCCATGCCATCTGGCAGAGTGGGCTGACCCCTATGTGCCACTACATTTAAAGGGCAGGCTACCCAGTGACACAGGCAGATGGGTAAATTGCTATATCCCTCTTGACAATAGATCTGGAAAACAAATTCTCAAAATAATGCAGAACAGTTATCATGAGAACTTCTAACACAAATAAGAATACTACTCGTAAGGGAATTCTGTGCCAAAAAATTAAAAATTCTGCAAAATTCTGCATATTTTGTTAAAACAACATAATCACACTATTTTCAATTATTTGCTGACAAGTATTTGGAAATGATTTACCAAAATAATTGAAAATTGTGAGATTATATTGCTATTGTGTTACTGTGTTATTTTGCCAAAAAAAATATGCAGAATTTTAAAAATTTTATTTTTTTGGCGCAGAATTTTTAAATTTTGGTGCAGAATTCCCTCAAGAGTACCAGGGTTCTGTGTGGTACAATTTGGTGCGGGCAGCTCGGTGGGGGTTCCAGGAGGGATCTGGATGCAAAGGGGGTTGTTGGAGGGTTCTGGGTGCAGGGGGAATAGGACTCAACAGGGGAGTCCAGGTGAAGGAAGTTAGGGCTCAACAGGGGGTATGGGTGCTGGGGGGGTGGGGCTTGGTGTGGTGGCGGTCAGGGTGCAGCTGTTTGGGGCTCAGTGGGGTGGGGGTCCGGTTGTGAGGAGCTCCCGATGCAGGGGGTAAGGCTCAGCAGGGAGGAGGTTCGGGGGGACTCGGTGGGGGGGGTTCTGGGTGCAGGGGGCTCCTGATGCACGGGGAGAGTGGGGTGAGGCTCGGCAGGAGGGATTTTGGTGCAGGGGGGTCTAGATGCACAGGGGTTGGGCGGACAGGGGGAGCAGCTCCCCGTACAGTAGCTGAGGAGTAATGGGACCAGGAAGGGAGGGGGGGGGGGAAGGGTCGACTGTAGGGGGAGTGCTTCCTGTCCACGCAACTCCCATGCATCTGCACGCACACACACACACACACACACGCACACACACACACACACATCACTGTGCCTCACCCCCTGCACCCAGCCCCTCCGTCCAACTCTCCGCCCGCAGTACAGAGCTTCCTACAGCCAGGGAAAGTTTCTAGGGTTGATCTGACCCATTGCTGGCTGCTCCAGGCAGGGGAGGGGGAACTCTGTCTCTGTCGTCGTCGTCCTCCCTCCCGTGCCCAGCCGGGACTAACATCCTGGGGCAGTCAGGGCATCCTCAGACACGCCCCCCCGCGGTGACTTTCCTCTCCCCTGACTGCTCAAACAGACCCTGCAAGAGAGGGGTGAGTGAGCATTGGTGCAGCTTCTCTTTGGTTCCCCATAGAAACCATTTTTCTGCAGAAAAGCAAAGAGAATCTGCGCAGGGACATGTTTCTGCATGCGTGCAGCAGCGCAGAATTCCCCCAAGAGTAGAATATATACAAAGACACTTAAATTTTAGGAATGCTCTCTATCAGCAGGTTATTTTACTAAATTTATGGATGAACACTTTTTAAAAATTTTGAAAACTCATTTTAGATTTGTTTTTAAACTGTTCTCAATGCATAAGGCACACAATAATTCTCAGGATCATAGAAAGGTACAACTATTATTAGATGAACCTAGTGCAATGATTTATAACTTGTCCACAAAACTACTGACTCATAATTTAAAAAAAATATATTTGGAAAGGGAACTGCCTGGAGAGACAGATGTTAAAGTATGTCAAAGGTTCATGTTGCTAAAAGGAGTTCAAAGAAACACACTATGAATGCCTTATATCACGGTCTTCTCTGGACTCTGGAAAGCTCCAAAGTTACATCTTTACTGTGCAAATAAAACAACTTCAGACATAACTACTTCAAATTCTAATGAAATCAGTCAAAGTCATAGCAAATCTACAGGTTCTTTTCAAGCTTGGTTTTTCCAAAATCCGTCTTACCTTTGCTGGTGAACGCTGTTTCCTTTTCTTCTTTTTCTGCAAATCTACTGGCTCTCGTATTTGTTTTTTGTCTCTCTTCTGTTGTTCAGATGCATCAGTAAAAGTAATTTCTTGCTTTACACTGATCTGTTAAGATACAAAGTGCCAGTTTCAGGTGAGGCTCTCATTACAAAAGAGCAATTTTTCATTTTCAGATGACAAACGGCTGAAACAAAGGCTAAGATTTTTTCTGAAGGGATTGCCCCATGGTTTCATTCTTTCAGAAATTTAACAAAAAGGGAGTAATCAATATCTTAAATGCAGAAAGGAAATAATTCTATACAGATTTACAGTTTGCTGTACCTCTTGATTCATCCAAAAAAATTTAGGCTTTTCTTTCTGACCTGTAGTGTTTCCTTGTGACTCCTAGTGTATATCAAAATCTCTCATATGTGCATATAATCACTCTTCCATTTGTTTCATACCTATATTACTTTTGCCTGTCGTATTGTCAATGCCAGGATTTAACAGAAACAAATTAATTTACTATATATTTGAGCTAAAAATTTTTTTAAAAAGACCCCCAAAATACAGAGAATGAACTTTTTTCCATTAATACTTCTTGATCTAATATCAACTTTATTAAAGATCATATTCTTAAATGTTCCTAGTATGTTTTCTAAACTGCCCAACAATCTCTGAACTTCAGTTAAAAGGAAAGCCCTCTCAATGTACAGTGTTTTAACAAAACTCCAGTTGAAAAAGGCCATTCTTTCTTTTTACACCTATATAATTTGTCTTTTTAAATCACTGACATTTCAGTAAACACCCAAACTTTACAGTAATAATGCATTATTTTCAAATGGAAGCCATTTTTATTCTCCCTATGGTGGATGGAAGATACTTTCTATTAAATATCAAGGAAGACATATATGGGCATCTACAAAGTGTTATATGTTTGACCTGCAGCATGAATGCAAGCAATAGCTATCAAATGCTAAATTTCTATATGAGATATACTTTAAAAACATGTACAGAAATGCTTCAGGTGGCAAAAGGAAATGTGCTTTGCATAAAACAAATAAATCATCCAGGCTCTTTAAATATTACTTATCCTGGTTTATATTTGCTCTTTAAAATGTATTATTGTGTGGTTTTTTTAAGTGTTTAATGTTAACCAGTCAATTCATATAGTAACAAAAACAATATAATTATCAATTTTTGTATAAATAAATGCTTATTATAAAAATGAAATATAACTGGGTGAAACTCACCTCAATGCAAATGACCTACAAAAGGTTGTAACACACTTTTAAAACCACAATTAAGCTCATGAAGCTTGGTTTAAATGATGTATAGGGCCTTTTGTCGGCCCTCTAACTGAGATGAATTTCACCCAGTCAGCAGCTAAAGACATTTTCATAAATAGCATCTATTATTAATACATATTTTTATAATCAAAATGCAAACAACTCATTAATATATTCCTAACATAATACAACAACATTACCAAACCATGCTTCCTAAATGAGTGTGCAATATTTCATGAATAAAATGCTTACAGGAACATTGACCGCATACTGTAGCCCTTGAGGAAGTCTATCTTGAGCCTCCAGCTCATCATCATTTTTTACCGTCTCCTCATGGACCATGAGTTCATCATGTGAAATCATCTCTTGCTGTCGAAGCTCACTTTCTTGTAACACTTCATCTGTTGCAAGAATTTCTTGATGTGCCATAGTCCGGTCTTGAAGCACTGCTGCTTGCCGTTCCCCAGATACTGAAGACTGGTCAGATACTGCACCCATCCCTACCATAGCCCTGGATGACTGCATTTGGTCTATGCCACCACATTTAAGAAATAATCCTCCAAGTTTGTCTTCAATATTCATGCTTAAGTGCAATAGCCTATAAAGAGAAGTATAGCAAGTGAATATATACAAATGGGCAAATTATTTAAAAATTTACTTGACATTTAAAAAAAAAAGAAAGGTTTTACAAAATAGAGTCAACAACACATGCCTTTCTTGTAAGTACTGTCCAGGGATTTCAATACTTCATCTTTGTGGTAATAAGCTAAAGGAGATCAATCTCTCTCTCTCTCTCTCTCTCACACACACACACATACACACTTTTTCAAATAGGTTGTGGTTGTCTTTTGACTACCAATATAACGGGGTGATACAGTAGTTATATGAATTGATAGCCAAAAGAAACTTAAATACATCCCCTACCCTTTAAAGGAATCAAACTGCTTCCATTTTTTCTTCTCCGCCTCTCTTCCCCATCCCCTCCCCACCATTTTTTGTGCCTGATCCCTCTCCTGAAAATGCCTCCTTTCACTGTGTTCTCTCTTCTCCACTTCCCCCTTTTTGTATGTGCTGTCTGTCTCTCCTGCCACCACTGCCCCAGGCTACCAGAACAGCTTTATCATCACAAGGGAGAGGAAGGAGAATTTTTTTGGCTCTTCTTGGGCCGCTGTTATTGCATGTGAAGGAAGGAAGAGGAGTAGTTAAACATACTTATAGGGGAGCAATCACCTCCACACCCACTCTGACACTAGAGCATGAGTCAGGGTGTATGGGCTTAGACACTGCCACCATTAATAGTGCAAAAACATAGTAGGAAATAGGCAGTAGTTCATCATGCTGAGGGGGAGGCTCAGTTCCACCTCAGTTAGGCTTTTTAGCTAATTAGGCTCTGGGTCAGCTCTGTCCCTAATGTTCTAATTGTCCAATTAAATAGGCAAAGAAGCCAAACCATCTTGCCCAGCAGTACAGAAGGACTCTCCATCATCCCCTAAGAATTACACTGTGATGCCCTATAGCCAATTTAACATCCTGCTACTCGCAAAGCATACATTCCATCCACAAACTTGTATCAAACAGACCAACGTGTAATGTTTAAACTTCAGTTTTCAGTTTGAAAATAGAAAATGTGTCTCAAAAAACACGTGCAGTGATTGAGAAAAATAATGAGGATTCTGGATTTATCCTAATTTCTAGTGAAGATCTGTTCATTTCACAAACCCACCACACAATCTGGCATGAAGGGCAGACTCGCCTCAAGTGGGGCCCACGAGCATTTGATGTTAGGAATGTGGTCCATTGACAGAACTGAGTGGTGAAGATTACACATTACTCATCTGCATCATACCCGATTCCAGACAGTACTATTGGTAGTCCTGATTCTTGTGAATATTCAATTCACTCAAGCAAATTAAAACAGAATTAAAAATGTAGCCAACATTACCATTCTCCAGCATGAATCTAGTCAAGACAGGAGAGGATCTGTGCCTGCGCTATCACACAAGAGCAAGAATCTCTAACTCCTTGAATACGTCAGAGAGGTGGCTAATTTTTGAGCTGTGCAGGATTGTCTAATAATCCTCCCCCTTTTCAAGTTCAACTGCTCAACAGCCAAGTCAAAAGAGTGAAGCATGTTGGATATTCAAGATAAAGTGGACCTTGTACCCGTAAACTTTTCACTGCTGGAAGTCCGAATGGATTGACTACTGATGTATTCACTCAGCTTGACCCTAAATATGTAGGGCACTGACATCGTTAAAAGATTTAATGATGTGGCTTCATTTGCTTTTTGGGAGACACTGAAACCCAAGCTTCTGCACATAAAAGGTCAAAGATATTTATAAATGAATAAGAAAGTAAAAAGGAACCAACAACCTTCAAAGATGTGGAAATATGAAAATGGAGGAATACACTTGAGACAAAAAAGTAAAGACTGATACTCCCCAAATCTACAACCTAACCTGTGAGGTAGCTAAAGAACAAGGCCTTTGATGAAACTAGAGAAGAGAGACCCCAACACATTTGCATGGAATTAATATTCCACTGAGCAATACCATACAAAAAGGGCTTACAGACCCTTTGTATTTTTCCAGAATAGATGTCCTCCTAGATTTCAATAAAAATGTTGAGAACTGTCATGTTAGAAGGGCTCGGTACACAAGATTCCATAAGTGTGAATATCAATGATTCAGAGACAGGTGTTCCTGCGAGATGCAGAAAACAGTCTGTAGGGGCAGTTTCGGGTGATGAGGATCAACAATCTTTTGTCTTTACTGGAGAAGGTAGCAAAGTCTCTCTGCCGGCCAGCCCATGTGAATAATATAATAATAAATGGAGATATACTTATCTCATAGAACTGGAAGGGACCCTGAAAGGTCATCGAGTCCAGCCCCCTGCCTTCACTAGCAGGACCAAGTACTGATTTTGCCCCAGATCCCTAAGTGGCCCCCTCAAGGATTGAACTCACAACCCTGGGTTTAGCAGCCCAATGCTCAAACCACTGAGCTATCCCTCCCCCCCCAGATTGGAAAGCAGTTGTCCAATCTTGCTGTTGTCAAGAGTCTGGAACAAAGTAAAAGTTCAGAACTTTCATATTTGATAAAATTTGCAAACAAATCTGTTTGTGGAAGGAAGCACATCTGGGTCAGGTAAATGAAGGTATTCTAAGTTTCCAATCTCGTGAGGAGAGTTCCTTCTAACTCTGCCAATCTGTTTGCCAGTTCAGCTTTGCTGGATCTCATATACTGCTAGAGATATAGGATTTTGAGACCTTTTCATTTAACTTTCTGCTTCTAGTGCCACCCTTACAGTAGACCAATTACTACCTTCTATATACATAGTGGATATTCTAGCAGGGATTTTGCAAAGAAGTGATCTGGCACCAATGGAGTACTCAGCACTAAAGGACAGTTGGTTGAATCTGTTCTGAAATGGTCTGCAGAAACAAAGTTCAAAATCTGGATCTACTGACTCTGGAATAACATTGAAGGAGCATTATCTTATTAAGTTTCTGATGCTCTTTCAAACAGTCTGAAGCCATCAAACAGAACTTGTATCAGACTGCCCCACTAAGTGTGAAAAGAGCCAATCTGAGGCACTAAGGACAATTTGAAAATTTTATCCTGCTAAACTCGGTAGTTTTTTTCTGAGCAGACAGTATGTGCTTGGGAGGGATCTAGTCAGAACAGACTAGTGTCTCCAGGGATAGTTATATAAGCAACTTTGAAGCCTTTCTTATGCATCATCTTCAGGGCACTTCTCTTCAAATGAAGGGACACCAACTCTTCAATGTTTAAAGCAGGGTTAGGTTATCTCATCTAAGTTAAAACGTATTTCCAGTTGTCTGAATCACATATTACCAAAGAAGAGAATGAGAGTTCACCCTTTTCAAGGGATGAAGTGCACCAGGAATGTCACCAATGATCCCAGGGAAAGAAACTGTAATCCATAGAAATTTTTTTGGAGGTAACTGGGGTTTCATGGCAGTAGAGTGAAGTAGTAGTTCTCCATCAATGCTGCTGAAGGTTTTCTGGAGAGGACTTTCAACAATAGACCACAGTAATACTAAAATGAGAGGGAGATGGTTCAGTTGAAGCGGGCAGGATGATCTTAGGCCTCCATCTTTGGAGGTTTTTAAGAACAGGTTGAACAAACACCTGTCAGAGTTGGTCCATGTATATTTAATCCTGCTCAGTGCCCGAGGATGGACTAGATGATCTCTTGAGGTCCCTTCTAGCCCTACATTTCTATGATTCTATGCATGTTAAAGTCTACTGCAGTATTAGCTTACTGCACTGCAGCCTTCATAGGAACCAGCTAGAGAGGTGCTGAGATGGGGAAGTGCAAGCTGCTAAAAAGCAAGCATTCAAGTGTGAAAAACAGCGGCTGCAGTCCGTCTGGTCAAGGCACAGCTGAAATCAGCACTAGGGACTGCTCCAGATACAGAATATTGTCACACTGCTCTGAAATCAGGCCCAAATTGAGGAATTCCGGGATTTAAAGCTATTTCCTGGCAGAAAGGTACGGAGAATAATGAGAAAAGGGTCTCAGAAAGAGAGCAAAGGACTCTGCTGCTGCTGTCACCAATGAATTGGGGCAGACTGGTGAAACATAGCAGCAGAATGCTAGAGGAATAATTGGTAATGTGCAGCAGCTGCCTAGCAGAGGACACACACTGATAGTATATCGCATTTATTTGTAACATATTGTCAGCTGTTTTACTCATTTAAATTGTAAGGGATATGAATACATGGCTGCTTTTCACACTGATTAGTAGGCTCGTCCTGAGATAGTAGGCATCAGGTACGTTTTTCAAGCTCTGATCTTGAGTCACCTCAGGTGCATTGTAAAAGCAGGTTTTTAGATATCTGGCCTTCCATACAAAAATAATGAGGACTCAATCTGCAGCATAACACCACAACTGATGAAACAAATCTAGTCTACATAAAATCTAAACACGGAACCAAATAATATGAAAGTAAAGAAAAACATAAAAATAGGCTATTAGTCCAAATGAGACATGTCCTGATTGGAACTGCCTCGGCAAATCAAGCATAGTTGACCACAAGATGCTTTGCAGGGGGGAGGGCAGAGGTTGCTTCAGTAAGCAGAATCATATTATTTTAATTGAAACCAAGAAAAAAATGCTCTTGGCAGAATAACAGACTGACCAGAAAAAGTAAGCTGAAGTTTTCAAAATAATTCACCTGGACCTGTAGTAGGTCAACCAGTAAGTTAGAACAAGCTACATCTGTGAAAGAAGATATCCCCAAAATAAGATTATCCTTGACAGAAACCATAATACACACCACATACTTGTGTAAATTAGTATATCTCCTGACATAAAACATTGTGATTTTTAACATAAAACAGCAGTCTTTTTCCTGGGATTCAAAACTTTTATTTAATAAGATTTTTAGCACCATCTTTGAAAATATAGTTAAAAATCTCTCAATAAAGACAGAGGTCCAATTATAAAAAGTAACATAAAAGGTGTAACTTAAATGATCCAAAGCTAAAAGAAATGCAGAGTTAAGGTGTTCCTTGTGCTTGATAGCGATTCCCCAATTTCATCGCCTCGAGCAAGGCATTTGAATGTGG